AAATTTTCGATATGTACGCCTACATCCACTTCCGAATATTCTTATAGTATTTTTGTATGATTTGCGAGGGTATTATACATATATCGATATTATTTGAATATCTTGAACAAGATCTATCTTTGTCAACCTACACAAAGTAATCTAATTTTGGAATAGAAAAGGGTATACAGCTTATCTCGTCATTGACATAGAAATCAAAATGTAGGCATCGTGAGTCATGAATCGCGACAAATGTCTCCCATATATTCCGATTCAGCAATTGACACCGTCGTATGTTGCAATTCTGCGAAAGCGGAGTGGGTTGCACTTCCGTCGTTTAGACTTTCGAAACGAATAATACTTGGAGGCATTTATTGCGTAGTCGCATCTCTAAATTCTTTATATAATTTTCCGATATGAAATTATAAAAGACGACAAGCGAGTTTTATTCTTTCCCATTTCTCGATAATGAAATTCTCGAATCGCGGAAGCGCAAACAATCTCAACATTGGACAAATGCATACTAGTACCGAAAATATGGAAATTGCAAGAGCATTTCTGTAAACACCGAAAGCGAAAAGATGCCGCGTACCCCGGCTACAAAAACAGTCGCTGCAACATCGAGAATCCTTTCTCCGCTATAAGCGCGTAAGTAGCATCGAATGGTTGACCATTAGTCAGTCAAAAGTGTACACACACATAAAATACACACTCTCGCTTGCGTTTCAACAAAACAAGAGCGATAATGAAGCAGTGTACCCAGTGAAACCATGGAGTAGATTCTTTCTGGAGAGAAAAAAAGAAAGAAAAAAGGGGAATATAGGCCGATATATGCTCTCGTAACATAATTGCGTAAGTATCGCCGCATGCTGGGAGGCGTGCGAGCACGCTCACGACTATTTCGGGTCCGTTCGATTCTCATGCCCGATATATCGGCCACGCGGACTCCTCTTCGAAGAGAGACGGACTCGCGCGAGCAGCGCGAATCGTGTCCCGAACTTTCACTCTGATCTCTTACGACTCGACAATATGTACACGCAGCCCCCTCCCCCGCGCCACGATGTCCTGATCCGACTTCTGTGTCTTTGATATCAAAGTACAAAGAGACATGAAAGTGCGTTAACAAAACGAATTGTGCGCGAATCGATCAGGATCGTCGCGATATCCGCAGAGAAAAATCGTTTGATTGTACCAACAAGACGTATATGATTGAAGGTATTTTGATTAAATCAAACAAGAATTTTTAGTTATCATGATAAGACTCGATTTTTTATAATTAGAACGTTTAATAGATTTTACTATAAGGATTTGGTTAGTATTTTCTGGTTGGATCTATACAATTTCTTGTTACATTAATTTTTTTGCTTGCCACTCTTAACTTAACTCGTATTCAATATTTGCCATGAAATGTATATAAAGAACTAGTATTAACATTAAATCCAAAGTATATTTTTTTTCTCTTACGAGCAGTAGTGCCAGAAAGAGGACGCTAGCTCTCTGATTGTGTGTGTTTGAGCTGCATCCTCTTCTTGCATCACTGTTTATCAGTTTAATTTCTGAACAAACTGAATTTAAAATAATTTATTCAATAATCTGGATTGAATTTACCCAAAAATCTTGTTGGAATTCAGAATATTAAACAGACTTTTGAGATTAGATGGAAAAAATTTTAGACGACTTGGTGCTGGCGAGTTTAATATTATTAACCAGAAAATTTGATAAATTTAACAGGAAGAAATTAATCAGATTCATTTGGTAATTCCTACAAGAATTCTGATTCGTTTATTTTCCAACAGACATGGTTGAATCTACCAGAATTCTAATTATTGCAACCAGATTTTTTCTCAGTGCGATTATGTAAACAATACAACGCGATATGCGAACAAATACAAAATTGTATACCGTTTTATTATTACCGTTTGAAGTTTGTTGATCTTGTAAAATGTAACATTATTTTTTTTTTAACGAAAAGACTTCTTTAAAATTGTCGACAAACAAAATAGAAATGAATCAATACAAATTAATGTCGTTAATTAACGACGAGAAATCTTAATCACGCAATTAAAATTTAATTTGCTTTTACTGAAAGTTTTTCAATTTTTGTTGATTATGTACACACGACTAAAGGGTCAATATTACACAGCTGAGTTCGATAACAATGAATATATACGATGATGCATTGCACAATCTCGTTTGTTATTTTGCTGCGGCACGTTATTGATCCATTAGATATATTAATCATCTATCAGGCAAATCGATCGCGCTCGATATTTTATTGCAAATGCACGCCATCGTATACGAGCCATAATTGGTTTTTTGTCGGTTCTTTTATCTCCTTCTCCCATCTGTCTCCTTTTGCTTTTGGCTCATAAATAGCGAAGCCCTTCAGATCCAATTTGATGGGGGGAAATACGTCACTGCACTCTCTCTTTCTGTCTTTTTCTCTCAATGTGGGACCCAGATACACGATTCATAGCAACGATGATGCCGGAAAGAGACGAAGGAAAATAAACGATCGATTCACGGAAAAATTTATCGCCGCGAGCGAACCATTAGATCGAAGCTAAAAATATGAGCAATTAAAAACCCACGCGTGCGCGGTCGTTTGCATATTTAAGACAGTCGCGACAAATTCGGGAAAAGTTGCGTTCACCACGAGATTTTTCTCTCCTCTACTCCTTCTTTTGTGAATATGAGATATCCCGACTCGTGCTGACGAGTTGACGTTTTAAAAGGTTTATCCGGCCCAAGTACTTTCGTGAAGAGGAGAAAGAAAGAGGGAGAGGATCTTAAATGTTCGGAAGACGACCGTGTTGATCGTAAGTCGATGTTACGAGCGATGTAATAGCTCTACTGTATGCGAGATAATGGAAATGAATGTAGTGTCGCCTAATGTGAATCCGGATGTCTGTAGTCATCGCGTTAAACGCTTTTAAGTGATATATAATCGGAGAGAAAGCGACCTTATAAATTGTTCTATTTTTATCGTAGAGATAACAATAGATTTGATAGATAATTCTTTAAGTATCTGCAATAGAAAATTATAGAATATTCGAAAAAAATTCTTAATAATTTAAATAATGTATATTATAATAAAAAATGAAGTTATTAAAAAATAAATAAATAATAAATTCTATAAATCTATAATTCTATAAATAATGATAAATATTTTATAAGATTTGAAAATTATTCTCTCTCGTAGAAATATTGAAATTAAGATAAATGGCAGGTTTTTATCTATTGTTATAAATCGTGTAAAGTATTAGGTTTGATGCAACCGATATGTTTTCAAAAGTAACAACGGGAATTTTGCCGGACAATTTATAATAGCAGCATTCGTCTTTTCTATTTAAAGCTCGAACCTGTACGTGCCGTAACAAAGGAGAAAAAAAAAGTAATGCTGGAAACGAGAGTTACTTCCTCGTTGCAAGAAAAAAGATCACGTTTGTCACGGCAAAGTGCCGGCAGTAGTGCCTGAGATCTGCCATGTGGTTTTAAGGGTCAATCGATAAGTCGCGCAAATATTGACGTCATCTTTTATCGACGCAACCTCGAGTCAACGCACGTGATTTTTCGTTTATTAACTGGTTATGCACAAAAAAATCTGTTTTTTTAGCTGCATCAAAAAATCGATACTCATCTTGACATTTAACACGAAACAGTAATACTCACTCATATCTTTAAAAAATCTTTAGAATAAGATAGATTTTGCCCTCCCCATAAAACAGATATTTAAATATGGACAGAGATGCGAGATCAAAGGGCGCGAAAATATGTCGTAAATATCTATATATACTTGAACGTAATCGTCAGGACAATTGCATCTTGAATACGTATTCGAGATACGTAATTGCGTGCATAAATGAAATGAGATATAATCTGTTAGATATGAATGTATACGATAATCTTAAGGGACGTTCGCCTAGACTGTTTGTATACATATGAGTTGCACTTTTTTTTACAAGTTAAGCCCATTAATATTTCGCGATATGGCAATATCGTATATCATCAAAATATAATTAACTGTTTGTTAATCATAATCGCAATTTGATTGCAATTCGCAATAATAATTAGAGAGATGGATTTATATGCGAGAACGTAAAATACATTTTCGTCATATCACATCATATATATGTAAATAAAATAAAATAAAATAAACATTTAATATAATTATATACAGATTTAACATAATCATATAGATAGAATTTCAAATCTAGTCATATACACATTTTTCTAAAACGTAAAAGAAATTTACATTATATTATTATATAATCTTTCGCCACTTTTTTGTATGTTACATGCAATAGAAATTTGTTTAATCATTTGAAGGTTGAAATAAACGCGGAATTGAATTTTCGTAGCGGAAACCTGCGGTAGTCGAGCACGCGTCCAGCACAGCGGGTTAGCCGGAAAGATCGATTGTCATACTGCGACACTAATGTCGGGAGTTGGCATAACTTGGTGGTTTGCGCTCTCGAGCGACTCTGCAATCGAACCGCGAATCGCGAATGTCCTCTCCTGATATTCCTCAATGACAACACCGTTACGATTAAACGTAATTCTCTTCACATGTCGCATTCAATTTACAAACAATTATCGTGAGCATCAATTTGAATGGGAATGTTACTAGTATTACAGTAGCAAACTGCGATTACCGATAATTGATGTTGCTAACACTTGAGAGCGTGGAAATGCAGCCTTGCATTTAATTAAAGACCAGAGTACAAACGGTAGCTTTCCTCGCGATGGGAATATTGTTGTAATTACGACGATTATGCTAAACTGCGGTTATTGATGACTTATGTTATTAAGATTGCTTAAACGGAAGGAAACGCGAAACATTGCGAGGAATCTCTGTCGAGAGCTTTTAATACACAGCACATTTGATTATTAAATATATTCGTTATTTTTTTTAATTATAATTGCTATTTAACAGAAATATCCACAAAATTGATTAGCATAAAATGTGTGGCATAAGAACGTGATATACATATGTATATAAAAAAGTTATTGTTTCTCAGGAAATAATACGTGAGAGAGGAGAGAGAAACAAGTTGAAATTATTGCAGTCAATGCACGCCAGCTGAGCCCTACTTCCTGAAGATACGTCAAGGGCTCGATGAAGACTCCGTACACGTATGAAGATATACTTCGAGCAGCCTATAATTTACCCTTTTTTCATTGTATCTCGTCCGGAGGAAGTAACGAGATACGAGGGGAGGGAAAAGGGAGAGAAGCCCCCGTCACATGGTAAAATGCGACGTGTACGTATGTATCCACGCGTGACACACGACCGTAGGATATTACACAGCCTAGTTTGGTATAATGTTAATTCCATTCTTATTGTTAATGTATTGTACTTATGATTATATGATGCGAGACATGCGCGCAATTTTGTGCACCCAGGAACGAGAGAAAAAGCGTCATTGTTATTCAACATGTGACTGTGTCGCTCTTACGTTTACACGTGAGATACACACTCGATACTCGAGGCACAGCCGAAAAAAAAACCGTATAAACCGCGAATAACCATCGAAGAAGGATCTGATTATCACAAGCTGAAGCTGACAACGGAAAGCTTGAAAATGTCGCGTTACGTCATAGATGAGATCGTCGATCATCGGTACACGATGCGCTTTCTCGGGATAATCGATACGCGGAAATGCTGCTTATCTAATCTCGCGATCAACGATGATGACAGTAATATTCGCATGATAATTACACCTTGTCGGAATTTTTATCGCGATTATTAACGCACTTACATCCCCCAGGTCTGCTTGAAGTTCAAGATATTACACGCATTTTATCAGTTATAAATTATCAAATATATTATTTCAAAAGAGGAATTTCATACTAACTATATTTTTTATTTTCTAATAAAATAATTTTCTTTTATATTTTCTAATAAAATAATTTTCTTTTATTGCGAATGAAAGAATTACTGAATAAAAAAATATAGGCGCTTTAAAACAGATTATGCATCATATTGCGACAAAGACGATCGTACCGCGACTCGAGGATCGCATGCAAATGCGACTTGCCGGAATCAAAAACCTTATTCTATTCCGCAAGTATCTTTCTCTCTGTTGCGTCACTTTTGCACGTGTTGCGGTACACGTGTGAAAACCCGGCGAGTGCGGCCGTTCCCGTTTCTTCGCGGCACGTTCATTAGCGAACCGCTCTGCGAGCTTTTATCGCAAGGAATAATATACATGATTCCAAAATCTTACCTCGCTTTTTTTTATAAACTCTCTCGTCCTTTTACAATCGATTCTTTCTAGATAAAGATGTTGCGTTGTTGAATTTCGAGAATAAGCAAGAAAATATAGTTTTTTCACATAAGTTAAATTTCATGCAGCACAAAGAACGTATTTCTCAGTTTATTTTGCATAAACTTTAATATTTTATTTAAAAAAATATATCACATCAAATTTGGAAATTTGAGGTACCTAAATTTTTTCCGAAAGCTAAAAGAAAATTGTTCTCTAAATAGATTGAAGAATTTTTAATGGATTATTTATGTAATTTTGATGCAGGCTGTGTTCGCGATAAATTTCTGCAAAGAGGGGAAAAAAGCCAATCGCACTTTAAGATTAAACGCGGTCGATGACGGCTCGAAGCCAATCGCGTTAATCCGGAGTTTAGCGCTGAAAGAGTTTAACAGCTCTTTAGCTAAGATGAACATCGGCGAGGATTACATCCTCTAAGACATCGCTCGTGACATGATATTATTTGTAGTTCATAATTCGTCATTATATTTATACAAGATTATTTTGTATACAACTTGGATTTTCGGTTTTTCGGAAATCATATATAATAAACTGACATCTTTAAAAATACCAAAAGCATAATATAATTTATTCGCGTAAATGTTTAATTAGATTTTCTTAAATCGAATATCAATATCGGTTATTTTTAAATCCGTATATAAATTTTTTTATTATAAATAAATAAATAAATTATTGTATGTATGGTATATTCTGATATAATAAAACGATAATAGAGAGTGGAGCTTGTTAGGTGAGCATTGTGGTTAAGGAAGCATAATCTGTCCATTTTACTTTTGAAGAAATGCTTGAATTACAAGGACCGCATCAGTATTGAAAATCATGTCGTGACACGATAAACCGCAAAAAAACCGATGCAAATGCGACAGTTTACAAAATTTGCAATTTGAATGTGCTCGATTATAGGATACTATCTTTTGTGAAAACATTTTACACGCCTCGTATTGAAAATCTCGCTTGTCAACAAACGGCAACTTCACGGTTACGATAATCGAAGGCGCCACTTGAAAAAATTCAAACCGAAGAGACAAGTCTACGATGGCAATTATCTCGTATTAAAAGCACGTTGAGAAAAATAACTATGCCCTCCTTTACTCCCGAATTCGAATATTAATAAACTTATTATCCGACTCTGTCTCAAAGAAGTAACACGAGTCTTTCATTCGCTTGTCCCTTCGAATTTGCTACGTAAATCGTCAACCGGTGAGCACAAGTCACCCGGTCAGCGTGAAATAATTCCAAGTACTTACCATGCAGAAGAGATTCGCGTCGTCGCCACCTTTGTAGAGTACGATCCCAGGAGAGAATCCACCGAAAATCCGAGAGGGTAGTCTCGTAGTTTCCTGGCGGAGTCTCGGAAGCCGCCGGTGCTTTCTCCTCGAACACCAGCGGACGGACGGACGGACAAATAGTCGGTCGGTCGGTTGTTTCCGGGGACAGAAGAAAAAAAAAGATGTGCAAATCTCACTGTATACGCGTTCACCCGATCGCGCAGCGGGATACGTCGGAGGGAGCGAGACGGCAAGGCAGGATAAGGCAAAGAAAGACGCGAAGCCTTCCAGCGAACGGAGCTCGCGACGCGGAGGCGAACGAACCGAACGGACGGAGAATCGAACGCAGCACACCCGGACCAACCATGCGGCGCGCGGGTTCAGCGGCCGACTGAGAGGATGCAGTTCGCTCGCCGGACCCCTGGTGGCCCCTCGTGGTTCCGAGCGCCTCCCCCCCACCGCCGCGCCATCGCTCGGCGAGAGAGACAAAGCGGCTGCGCGCGCAGCCTCGCATTTTTTGACCCTCCGTCGCGGCCCCGTCCCACCGCGACCGCCGTTCCCCCACTTCTCGCCTCCCTTAGGTTCGATTCACCGCGAGGGCATGTATGTACGCGACCGATGCGAGCGTATGTATGCGCGTACACAATGTAACTGGCGAATGTATGCGTGCGTGAACGCGAGCACGCAGAATCCTTAGCCGCGCTAGAGTCTCCGGCTTCGATGGACTGGCCGTGGAGAGGATCGTAGGCGCTGTTTACACCCCGCGGTTGAGAGACTCGCGAATTTAATAGAACGCGTGCAATTGCTTACAATCATGAACGATGGTCGGTAAACCGATGCGAAACGACTGTCTGGTGAAATGCAATTTCTACCTGTAATATCTGCTCTTTGCAGCTGCACTTACGCTTTCGCACTAAAAGTATGTAATTGGATGTTGGAGAGAAAAAGAGGAAAAATGGAAAATGCAGAAAATTCTGTTGTTAAAATCAGATCTATAAAGTTTGATGGAATGGAAATTCCAGATCATATGACACCGGCAAGCTGCATCTCTCTCTCTCTCTCTCTCTCTCTCTCCCCCCTCTCTTTCTGGTTCACGCGAGGAGAAATTAAATAAAAATTTTAATTAAGTTGTGAAATTTTAAAAAATAAAAGCGTCGTTCTCTCTACCCAATAGAGATACTAAAGAAAAATATAAAAAATTGATAATATAATTATTAATTATTACATTTCAAATATTTTGTTACATTTCGTAAGGAAAATCCATTTGAAAAATAACATACATCTACAATTTGGTCTTTTGAAAAATTAGAACTTATAATTCTCCCGATAAAATACTTTGAGCATAAAAGAATATGAAATATATCGACAAATTTTCAACACATCTTTTGTACCTCACTAATTTTTTCTTTCTTTAGGATTGCGACATATTTTCAAAGATTTGCGATGAAAGTAACCTTTATTTATTATCTTTTTTTTTTAATAGCGCTCTTTAAATAAGTTCTTTTAAAAAGTGCAAAAATTATAACTCGAGTTTCACGATACGTTGTGTCCATACATTTCTCTATTAATAAGAGAAAGTCTCTTCTCTTTTTAATGAAGGAATAATGCACATGTCGAAATGAACTTCTGGATACCGCCCTGTTCATGCGCGATATCGTTCCTCTATCTTTACTATTACAACGCATTTCGCTTCTCTCCTGACAGACTTATTCCGTTAACAATTTCAAAATAAATACATTCTCTCGCTGTTGCCTCGACAATAATTGTCAAAACAAATACATTCTCTGTAAACAAAAAGATAAAGTAATCTTGATATTTCGCATCTTCTCGCCCAAACGTAGCCAAATTTATTTCATTAAATAACTACGCATAATTAATTACGAATTCTACACAGGGAAAAATATCATTCTACTGCCCAGAAAAACGATTACTCAGTTTATTTTTCTTTTTTTAAGTAATAGTTTTCTTCAACAAAGAATATATTCTTGATAATAGTCTTAAAATACACTCATCACAAGTGTTAGAAAATCTCATTATCATGTACTCAAAAGAAGAATTTATTTTCTCTTCAAGAATATTGTAAAGTTGTGTCAAAGAAAAATCAAACTTATTTTACGTCAACTCTTGTAGTAAGCAAACCAAATTTTTGTTTTAATTTAATATTCTTGACTAAAATTCACAATATATTCAATTAAATTTAATGCTTGTGGTGAACTTATGATATATTTGCGGATATACAAACTTATGATATACTTAAAATAAATAATACTTACTTGAATACAGTATACATTTTTCTCTGTGTATATTTCAATATAATATATGTAAAACATTGAATGTGAGTATTCGTGCTGATTGAGATTAGATACGGATCTTTTCATCGCGAATCGTATAATCGTCGTCAATTTCAAAACATGTAATTAAAGGAAAGCGCGTTTTTCCCGCGAAGAAAGATTTTGCGATAGCAAATGTATCGTCCGATACTCTCTCGTCCCTACGAATTAATAATGGCAGTCACGTTAAGAGAGTAGCACAGACAGATGGTCTTTACGTATATATATACGTATACGTATATATATATATATATATATATATATATATATATATATATATATAATTTTTTTTCTACATGTATCTAACGGGAGGAGAGAGATAGTACACAGAACCGAAGAAAATAAAATACTTTTCCGCTGTTGCGCGCATTTTAATTGGTCATTATTAAGTCTCCCTCCTGATACAATTATCTCGGCCCTTTTATTGCGTTGCTACGCGGTAATTACTATACTTTGTTTAGTAATAGCCGTGCCGCCGGATATCATAGTTGATAGAGCGAGAGAGAGAGAGAGAGAGAACAGCATCATATAGGGCAGTTCGATGCGAATTGCGCATTGTCGTAGGCCATGCATAAAATGCGGGCAGATTTGCATAAATACTGAGGGTCCGTCGACTAACGAGCTGTCTAATACATGGAATTCACCTGATAGCGATGGGGTAGGCGTTTCGTCATCCGACACGCTTCCGTGCCACTCGTATTCCATTTTAATGCGCACTGCGCGCGTGCACCTCTTATAAAAATATCTTTATTACTTACGAGAAACTTTAATAATTGTTTCCTGATTAATGGCCATTACTTACTCACCATAATAATTGCGTCGATTCTTAGTTGCTTAGAATTGTATTGATTTTACAAGCATCATCGTGTCTCCCACTATGATTATGAAAAGCGAATCATAGTCTTCGAGTGAGCCCATTAATCTCATTTTAAAAGCGACAAAAGCAGATTTTTAAGCGTGAAATATCTTGAAATCTACAATAAAAATTATAACCGCCGTTTAATGAAACTATTTACTATTTGTAGATCATAGTTAGAAATATTTACGAATACTTTTGGAATAGGAGGAATTTGTGATACCTCGTACGGTTGAAATAAATTATATACAAAAGCTTGCATTGCAACGATTGTAAAAGAATAGATTTACGGAACATGAGACTTTGATTCGCCTCGTTGATTTCAATTTGTGAAAATAACATAGATAATATATATATTTAAGAAAGGAAGAAACATGTGAAATATATAATGGATCAAGTGCGTTCGATAAACGCACCAAACCTACTTATTCTAGGCATCGACAATGTACATGTTACTTCGTACAGAGAGAAGACTAAGAGGTATCATGGCCTGCTTTTAGGTTATCCCTGAAAGCGATACTCCCTCTATGGACATTGAAAACGTGGACATAAACTACAAAGCCAATGTTCATGAATATTCTCAGAGGGTAATATATAATGTGCACAACTTCTGGTTTTGTTCCGTGCTATGTGAACGAAATGCCGGTAACACAAGTGCTGTATAACAAGACTTATGTATGTAAATTGATTATTCAATTGTAAATAAATTCAATTGTAAATAAATTATTCAATTGCGAAAGATACTGTAATATTCAAAAATGAAATAAATATTTTTCTATATTTATTGTCATATTTATATCTTAATTTTTATTTCCAAAACACAAAATGGCCTGTTGTGGGAGAAAAACATTTTTAACCATATTTCTATAAATCTTCTTAATTAGCAGTAAACTGATCTTTGATATTTATCAATCATTTTTTTAATTATTTAAAATTTTAATTATTAATACATGTATAGAATTTGTTAAATTAATCACTGCTTCTTCTGAAGTTTTTATAATTAGAGATAAAAAAACTCGAAAAATATAGATATTGCAAAACATTTTAAGTCTCTTCCTTTATATAAAATATAAAGAATTCATATGTTACATTTTAATATAGCTAACATTATTTTTACATATTTTTATTATAATTTTCATACCAACATAATATTTTTATGCTAAATATATATTACAAAATATATGATAAAATATATGATAAAATATATGATAAAATCTAATACAAATTTAATATAAAATATAATTCAAAATTTAATACAAAATAATTTATTACACGAGAATATCCAAAATATAATATCAAATTTATTAAAAATATTTACATAATCCAGACGAGACTGTTCAGCGAAGATTAATTACGCGACATCTATTATTAATAATAGATGTGCAATAATAAAATTTAATAAGTTTTATATAATGTAAATAATTGTGATCAAGAGTCATTAATAAAATTATTGATTGTTGCTTTGATTATAAAAGAAAGTATTTGCATTACTGACGCATTTTGTATAGATTATCAAAGGAAATATTCAAAATGAAAAGACAGAAACTTCGAAATCAACAATTAAATTACTAAATAAATCGCGATTTAAAATTCGCGAGAAAACGCGACGAATAAATAAATCGACAATAACTATTGTGTTATTAATTTTGAATATTTCCTTTGATAATTTACACAAAATGTGCCAGTAATCCAAATACTTTCTTTTACAATCGAAGAAACGATAATTTTATTAATGACTTTTTCTTTTTTCACGATTATTTATATAAAACGTTAAAACTTAAATTTTATTGTTGCATATCTATTATTAATAATAAATGTCGCGTAATTAATCTTCGCTAATCAATCTGGATTATGTAAAAATTTTTAATAAATTTTATATTATACATGTATTTTAGAGACATTTTCGTGTAATAAATTATTCCATGTAATATATTATTCCATGTAATAAATTATTTTGTATTATATTTCAAATAGTATTTATTACTTATATTTTACATTTATTTTTGTATTAAACCCTGTATATTCAAAGAAAATAAAAATAAAATAAAAAAAATGTTCCTCCTCGATGCTTTCCTTCTCTCTTCTATTTTAACAAAGGCATTTGCCGGGTGAACAGGTACTTTGAGTACTCTAACTACTGTACTTGAGAGCTATGCCAGAGAGAAAAACGGGAGATGTCATGGTCCGTATTTAGGTGATCCCGTAGTGAAAGCGATGCATCCTCTATAAACATAAAAA